TCCTGAAAATCAACCCAATTTAAAGATGGGAAAATGAGCCATTCAATCAACTAAGGAAGATATACGAACAACCAAAAAGCATATGAAAAATGCTCAACATCCCTCATCATAAAGGAGATGCAAATCAAAACTACAATGAGATATCACCTAACCCAAGTCAGAAAGGGGAAGATTAAAAAAAATGGGGACCAGCAGATCACATAATGGTTATGTCAATGGACTCTTACACAGTCAACTGTGGTTCGACTCCTGGACCCAGTGGCTTAAAACTCATGTTGGTCATGTGTACGTGCATGCTCAAGATCCCATGAAGAGAATGGAGGAGAAGGAATTGCAGAGTGACAATATCATGATCTCTTACTTTTTGTTTCTCTGTCTTTCTCTTTCACTCCAGTGAGTACACTTGCACTATAGCAAAAATCTCTCTATATATATAAAAATAATAATAATAAAATTTAATTTAATTTAATTTAAAAAGATAAGTAATGGCAAGGCTGTGGTGAAAAGGGAACTCTTCTACACTGCTGGTGAGAATGTAAATTAGTCCAGCCACTGTGGATAGCAATACATAGGTTCTTCAAAGATCTGCAAATAGGGAACCAGCAGTTAGCGTAATGGCTATGTCGCTGGACTCCCACGTAGTCAACTGCGGTTTGCTTCCCAGACCCGGTGGCTTAGAACTCACGCCAGGCACGTGTGCGTGCGTGCCCAAGATCCCGAGAGGAGAATGGAGGAGAAGGGATTGCGGCGTGACCATCCCCCCTGGGGGGTGATTTCTCGCTTTCTGTCTCTATGTCTCTCTCTGTCTGTCTGGTGAGCGTACACACCCTATAGCGAAAACCTCTCAAAAAAAAAAAGTAAAAAAAAAGATCTGCAAATAGAACTACCACGTGATCCAGCAGTTCCACTCCTGGATATCTACCCAAAGGACAGAAAAATTATCTGTCACAAAAGTGCTTGCATATCTATATTTATTGAAGCATTATTCATTATTGTTAAGACAGGGAACCAACTCAAATGTCCACAAATAGATGAATGGATTGAAAAATATGGCACATATACTCTATGGAATATTACTCAGCCATAAAAAGAAATAAGACCCTGGGTTTTGATAGAAAGTGGACAAATAAGGAAGATTTACTACTGAGTGAAGTAAGCCAGATTTTGAAAGAGACACTGTATGTCTCCACTTAATATATACTGACTGTCTCTATTCTATGGCGAAACTGAAAGATTAGTTTATATAGAAGCATGGAAAATGTTTACAGAAACTGGAGACAGTGTAGGAAGAGGGAGGGAGAAGCAGGAGAATGAGAGGAAGAGAATCAAGGAGAAAAATAGAGAAAATAGAGAGGCAAGACATTTATGGGACATAGAAATGGATGATTATCTGTTGATGACAATCTATATGATATCTTCAACTGCACTGGGGTGAAGTATATTTGTATTGGGTAAATTCATTTCACAAGTGTAAAAAAAAAATTTAAAAAAAAAATCATAGGCCAGATTTGGCTCAAAGGCTATTTGACTTAAACCGAAAACGTTGGTTTCATCATTAATTTCTCAACATATTTCACAACCGATACTTAATCTGTCAGCAGATGATGAGGGCTCTACTTTCACAATATATGCAGGATCCAGCCACTCACTTAATAAATCTAGCGAGGATATTAATTTCAACATAGTTAATGTTTTATCAATTATTCACAAGGACTAGGAAATAACGGCAAGGAAAAGATCAAGTTCCTTAAATATCACTGGTACCATTGAAAGTTAGGTAGAATAAAATCCTGTGTTTGTTTTATGTCTTTATATTTTTTGCCAGAAAGCACATGCAGTCAATGGAGAGAGAGAAAAAAAGAACACCCCCCACCCCCCATGGAAGGTGGTCATATCACAATCTCTTCTTCTCAATTTCTCCTCCTGGAATTTTGGGAATTCACATACACACACCAGTGTTTTTCTAGTGGCTGGGTCCAAGCTTCGAACTACAGAGTTGGCCACGTGGAGTCCAGCTGACTTAACCAACATGTCATTGCCTGGCCCAACATCCAGGTTTAAGACACATGCTCAGGCCATCAGGTGGTGTAGTGCTAAGGCACTGGACTCCCATATGGCTGACCACAGTTGGGTCCTGGACCTGGTGGCCTGAAAATCACTCTGGGCACACATGCATGCGTGCCCAAAATTTCGAGAGGATAATGAAGAAGGGATGTCATCATGGCCATTTCCTCAGGGAGTAATTTCCCACTTTTCCTCTGTCTGTCTCTCTCCAGTGAATGCAAGCACCCAATGGCAAATCAACCCCCAAAATATATGCTCCTATGCTTGATAATCAGATATGGGTACAAACTCGACTTCTACTACTTTCTGGCCATGGGAAAGAGAAAAGTACTTAAAAGGCACTTATTCTTCCTATATCTGAGAATCATCTGTGACATGGGTATGGTAGCTCTTGGATTATTGATACAGTTTAATGTAATATGTATACAGTGTGCTTGGCACTACGCATCGCACATAGTCTCAGAGATTTGTAACATCATCATCACTTCTAAACCACAAGATTAGCATAATAAGAAAGTGGATAGTCATTTAGTCTTCCTTCTTGTTTACATTCTTGAATCGGTCAACTCAAATGTGCCTGTTTAAAACACTAGACTTCTTTTAATCTGCACTTTACAAATAAATAAAAGGAAAATGGAATTGTTCTGTCTCTCTTGATTTTGCTGGTTGTTACACAATTTTACACTCCTGTCAAACTGGTACAATCATACAAAGGGTAAATTTCATGTATGTAAGTTATGCCTTATTTCAAAATAATAAATAGAAGCATTATTGCAGATGTGTGGAACTAAGTGTGGTAGTCAGAATTAATTACTTGCTTTCCCCACAATGAAGAGCAAAAAAACCACATGGGAAAATCTAACCTGCTTTCCCCACAATGAAGAGCAAAAAAACCATTTGGGAAAATCTAATGACATCAGAGATTGGGAATCCCTCCCCCCCACCCCCAGTACAAAGGAAACACAAAATGGCTATTCTTGTCCAATTCCAGGTAGAAACAGTAAGTTCAAAATAAAATAAAAGTTTATGTTGTCATTGATTTCAAAATAAAATAAAAGTCTATGTTATTATTGCAAAGCCATGGACAGGTTCTCTTGTCTCTCTTTATGGTACTAAGGGAAAACTGGTAATTACAAACCTTTAAACAAATATTAATAGATGAAATAACCTTACTATCAATATATGTTTCTTTGTATAGTTCTTAATAATTTCAAAGTAATCATAATTAATTAAAAATTATTCTTAAATGTAATACCTTTCAGAAAAACTAAGACTTTTTATGGTTACATGCTAAAATAACATAACTGAATTTTTACTATTTGTTTGATAAATTAACTAGCAGCCCATAGTTAAGAGAAAATGTCTAGACTCTAATGATATTGCCAGGCCTGATGAAATTTATACAAATATGTATCAATTAGTAGAAGAGAAAAAAACATTTTTTTACATAGATTTATAGTTCAAATGACCCAATTTCCTAAAACATGAATGCAGCTATAGTATCCAACATGGCAATACACAATATGGCCAATAGGGAGAAGGGAAATTCAAACCTTTATTTTTAAAACAGATTATATTTCAAGGTAAACTTCCACTTACATTCATCTTTTTATTAATTTTCCCTAAATTTTTGCCAAGATCAACTGGCAGTCATATAAAGAAGAGCAAATTAAAAACAACTGAAAATTATTTGCTTAAAACTAATAACTAAATTTTTATTTACAAAAAAAAATCTCTCATGAGTATGTTCTGTAAGAGAAAAGAAAACCAACAATTGGTATTTTCTAATCTGTGTTTAAGGACTCAAGCCAAGATTACTCAGAGATTTAGCTAGGCAAGCTAAATAAATACAGCAGAAACAGGGCTCATTTGAATTGAATTTGAACAGCTGTCTGTGGTGTCTAGACCATAAATGATACTGTATTTCAAAAACAAAATGCTAAATGATTAAGCTAATAACTAAATTTTTATTTACAAAAAAAATCTCTCATGAGTATGTTCTGTAAGAGAAAAGAAAACCAACAATTGGTATTTTCTAATCTGTGTTTAAGGACTCAAGCCAAGATTACTCAGAGATTTAGCTAGGCAAGCTAAATAAATACAGCAGAAACAGGGCTCATTTGAATTGAATTTGAACAGCTGTCTGTGGTGTCTAGACCATAAATGATACTGTATTTCAAAAACAAAATGCTAAATGATTAAGTATTTCCAGGGTCTAAGCTGAAAGTACTAAGTCAACTCATTCCTTTGTAAGCTGTTAAGAGTTCCCAGATATTTCTAAACACCTGTTTCAAGGAAATACTGTCTATATTTAAATGGTGAAAAGATTCAAATCAAGGAGCAAGGTCACCATGACATAGGGCTTGAATTCCTAAACTGATATGTGGAGGAGGTCAATTGCGAAGGATAGAATTTTTTTTTTTTTTTAGAGAAAGAAGTCCAAACACAATTTAATAAAAGGCAGATGACAAATTGGAGGGAGGACATGGTTAGAATTATGGAATATATGCAGTTCATTTTTCTGTTGTGAAAACTATTTGTAAACAGTAGATCAAGTAGAGCTTTTAAACTTTAAACCATAGATTAATACAAAGCAGAGTAGTCTGTGGACAATCCTGCTCCTTGTCAGGAGAGAAACATCTTAGATACTGACTAGTTCCACTGCCAGTGTCATAGAAGGCTCCAAGGGGAGCTGACTCTGCCATGGGGTGGTGATGTCTAAAATGGTTACAAATAAATGTAACAAATGAATACAAAAGTAGAAGCATCTTCACACAGCATGGCACTATCACAGAACATTTAAGAGCTATACACAACTCTGGTCTTTACCAATCATTTGCAAAATGTTCAAAGCAAATCAATACAGATAATTAAAGGGTTGGAAAACAAGGCCATGGACAAAGGTGAAAGGAACTAGAACTACCTCTTTTGTTTCCTCCAGGGCAAGGTTTTTTTCATCCTGTCTCTTTTGCATCCCCTCAAATCAGTGAGCACAGTACACCAGGTGAAGTGAATTTTTGGTACAAGTCTGTTGGTTGGCCTAAGGGAGAAAGGTGAGAGGAACAACATAATAACAGCCCTCAGATTGGTGAAGGGTTATTATTTTTAAAAATGGCAACCAGCTGTCTCTGCCTCCACCCTGTTTAGCGCACAGATAGAAAGCAAAAACTAAAGAGGAAAGGTGAGGGTTCATTTTGAGTATGACCAACCAGTTTTCCTAGGACTTTGCTAGTTTTAGCAATGAAATTCCTATTCTGGGAAACTCTTGGGCCAACCAGGATAGTCAGTCATCTGACATTGCAGGTCCCAAAGTTACAGAGGTTTAAAGCAGGGGAGATTCTTACCTGACTGGGAGAAATTAGTTGAATCCTACCTGAATGCAAGGGGAAAACCTAAGGATTCTTTCATAGGACCTTCCCATCATCTGATTCTAATAGTAACATCATACCATAATTATTAACACAGGCAATAATAGTAATAAAATGATAGTGATTTCATGTTCTACCTGTCAAAGTGAATTTGTACTGATATTAGCTCATTGAGACACCATTAAATGTGTATTTTAATCCTGAGCAGAAGACCTAAAGATATCCCCCTAAAGTGCTAAGGAAATAAGCATGAACCACTAAAATAGAGTGTAACAATTACTTGTAGACACATAGAAAGTGAATGTATGCTCAGCCAAGCTTGAGGTTGGTCAGGATGAATAAAACATGGCCTCTTGGTTATCATCATGGCCTAGAAACAGGCCTGAGTCCAAGTACTTTCTGCAAAGTGACTTTGGACCAACTGCAGAACTCTTTAAGCATGTGTTTACTCATCTATAAAATGGAGATAACATCATTACCTGCTCATAATAACAAGTATATAAGACTTTTTTTAGTGACCCTTACAACAAAGATGGCATACAGATCTATAAAATAAGTACATAATTGGGTTCAAAAACTGAGGTTATAATAGTTAACATTTTTAATAATTTCGGTGTGTCAAAAATTTCTCAGCACTTATTATGCATTATACATTGCACATAAGAGCTTTATGAAGATTGTTATTCTCATTCTTATTATATAGATTAGGGAACTGAAATAAAGAGAATTTCCATATTTTTCCCAAGGCCACATAAGTAAGAAACAGAGTTTAGTCACATCCCACAGTGTAACCCCAGAGTCTGTACTTACACACATGATACTACACTGTCTTTGGATTATTTTCAGAATGACTGTGAACTTTGGACTGTATATTCTTTTTAAAAATAATACATAAATACAAATTCTCTCAGTAAAACTTTGAATAAGTGATAGTGGCAGTGAGACCAAGTTTAAATTCTTGGACAAATACCTAAAATATTATACTTTGCTGATTAGGAGAATGAAATAGTCTGAGCTTCAGTTACAATTGGAGAAGATAAATACAATAACTTTCTCTCTTAACACTTTCAATATGACTTCCCATTCTTTCCTTGCTTGCATTGTTTCTATTGAAAGGTCCAGTGTTAACCTGATGGGATGACCTTAGTAAATTATTTGTCATTTCACTCTTGCCAATGTTAGTATCTTGTCTTTATCTGTGGTTTTGGCCAGTCTGGCTCAGATGTGCCTTGGGGAGGATCTTCTTGGGTTGATTTTTTTTTTGTGGTTGTTTTTTTTTTTTTTTTTTTTTTTTTTTTTGTGGTCCTTTGTATTTCTTGGGTCTAGATGTTTGAATGCTTCTCTAGACTTGGAAAGTTTTCTTCCAGGATTTCATGGAATAAATTATCCCCGCTCTGATTTGTTTCTTAACCTTCTGGGATAACAATTATCCGGATGTTTGAATGTTTAATGGAATCTAGTATTTCTAGTATATTATCCTCATTTTTTTGTTATTTTCTCTACCTTTTTGGTGCTTTTTACTAGGTCAGAGTTTTTATCTTCTACATTGGAGATTCTATCTTCAGCATGGTCTAATCTGTTCTTAATACTTTCTAGAGAGTTTTTGATTTCCTGTATTACAGACTTCATTTCTAATAGTTCCATAAGATTCTTTCTCATAGTGTCCATTTCTTCTTTCAAACCATGGAAGGACTTCCTCATCTCCTTGAGTTCATTGTCTCTTTTCTGTTCCAACTCATAGAGTTTTGTCACTATGAATGTTCTGAATTCTTTCTCTGACATTTTGGTTACTTCTTCTCATTTTTCAAGAGATGGAGGAGAGTTATTGATGAAGACATATTTTCTGGTTTCTTCAAACCTGAGGCTCCTCTTCTACTTCTAGCCATTGGGTGATGTACTCACTTTTGTATATCCTTTTGGAGAATGTTTCTGCCACTGGGAACAAGTTTCTTTACCTTTTGCTGTGGATTGATGTGTACCAAAGTCTCTCTTCTGCTGTGTTTAGGAATGAGGCCCCCACAGAAGGAGTCTTCTATTCAGGTGTCTGAAGAGCAGTTTATCCTTTTGCTTAGGTGGATCAGTAAAAGAGGGAGTCCCAGGGAGCCTAACAATACAAAGGTATTTGAAAACTATGATTCTAGACCTGTCTAGTCCCTCTGGATGGGTGGAGGATGAGAAGATGACAATATAAGAGAGAAGAAAAAAGAATATGCAAGAGAAAAAAGAAAAAGTTGCACACCGTGTACTAACACAGCACACAATTTCACCAGGGGTCTGCAGATGGAACTGGGCTCTGCTAGAGAGCTGGGGCTGTCCTATGGGATAAGGTGAAGTAGAAAATTAGCAAAAGAAAGAAGAAAAAAAAAGCAGCCTACCTTTCTGACAGGAAGATGGGGGCTCTGAGGTTGGGAGAACCGAGCTGGGGCCAGAGCTGGAGCATGAAGGGCCCTGGCTCAGTAGCCCTGACTGGCCAGGAGTCTGTCAGATGGAACTGGGCACTACTGGAGAGCTGGGTTTGTCCTATGGGAAAGGAGAAGTAGGAAATTACCAAAAGAAAGAAGGAAATAAAAGGCAGCATACTTTCTGGCAGGTGGGGGGAGGGGGGCTCTGAGATTGAGAGAGCTGGACTGGGACTGGAGCTGGAGCTGGGGCCAGGGCCAGTGAAAGGCCCTGCCTAATTTTCCCTGATTGGCCAGGGGTCTGCAGGTGGAACTCACAAATTAACTTCTAATATAGTTCCTGCTTAAATATTCCAGGTCCTGTTAGCTCACTATCTTATGAAACAAGCTACTTCTAAACCTAGGTTAGCTTTTGGAGTTAAAAAGTTTTTCTGTTACAAATTGATTTGACTTTCAAGTAATAGAGAAAGAGTTTATGTTGGACTAAACTTTCCTCGAATAACAATCATAAACTCTGGAAAAATATAAGCACAACAATATCTGAAGGCACTGGAGAAAAATCAAAAGCAGACGAAACTAATGTCAGGGGATTTGAAACGAAGTTAGAATTACACGGCTCTTCGCTTTAGTCCTCTGCAGTTTATTTGGCGTGGAAAGGCTAGAAGTCACATAGAAAGGCATGAATTCATTAGGTTGAGAATCTTAAAGATTGGGGTTTCTATTGAAAACAAAGGGGGAAAAAATCTCAAGAAGGGAACAACAGAAAGGTAATAGAAAACTCTGGAGAAATTAATAGGAAATGTCATAAAAGAGCTCTCTGATGTGAGGGGAAACTAATTTGATGGATTGTGGGTGCATTTATATATTTGTCAAAACATCAGATTAGATATTAAATATTTGGACATTTTACTGAGAGGAAATTTTATGTTAAATAAAACCATAAACAAGAGAGTTTATTTGGTTTGGTTTTCTAGATTTTCCTTTATGTAATTTCTTTATTTTTTTCTGGTTCTGAATTTAGAATAACTCAAACAAAACTACTATTCCCTCCATATGAACATACTCCAGTAGAGTATTAGTCAGAATATGTGACCTAACACGGTGAAGGCAAATGAGTTTCAACTTGAGAACTACCTTTGGCTAGTTGGCAGTGGCTACTTAGAGCCACATTTAGAGAAAGAATTTGAGACCCTGACAAATCCCTCTGCTACCCACTGAAGGTTGCACCTGGAACCCCCCCACCACCACCACCAAACTCACATAAAGCCCTAATCCCAGTGTGATGGTAATTGGAGGTAAGGCATTTGGGAAGTAATTAGATTTGGATGAGATCATGAGAGTAGAACCCCAGGATGGAATTAGAACAAAATTTGCCGACACCTTGATCTCTTACTTCCCCACACCCAGACATGTGAGAAATAAATGTTTAAATCACCCATCCCATGGCATTTTGCTATAGTAGTCTGTGTTAAATCACCCTCTAGGGATTTGGGAGTAAATGCTCCGAGTGATTAACGTTATCTGCTGGGCAAAGTGGGAAGAGTAATGAATGCTGCCCAGGCCCATTCACCATCTTCAACTCTATCTTATCAGTTGCAAATCTTTGTCTACAAGAAGAGAAGATGGAGCCTTTATATATTCTGGCAACACAAATATCATTAGCTCAGTATAAAGAGACATCACCACACATTGAGTTTCCATTATACCATGCTATTGTATACAACTTCTAGAGAAAATCGAGGACTACTATAACTTTTTAATCTAATTACATATTCCAGATTGGAAACTATCAATTATTTATTCTATTCATTTTTATGTATAAGGTAATACAGACATATATGATAAATATAACCTATGCATGTATTATAAGCAATAATTAAATGAGCAGAAACTATCAACCACTGAACTTAAGAAATCAAACAATACGAAGATCAACAGATGCCATAATAGTTACATTACTGGACTCCCCCATAGTCGACCAGGTTCAAGTCCAAGACTCCGCAGCTTAAAACTCACACTGGGCACATGTGTGTGTGTGTGCCCAAGATCCCAAGAGGAAAATGGAGAAGGGACTGCGGTGTGGCCAATCCCCTGGGAGGTGATTTCTCACCTTCTGTCTCTCTTTCTTCTTTTCCTCTTTGTTTTTTTCAAAAAAAAAAAAAAAAAAAAAAAAAAAAAAAAAAAATTAAACAATACCATACTGAATGGTTAAGTGAATGGTGAATGGTGAAGCCCTGGATGTCCTTCCTAGTATATTCTCCTCAGCACCCCAAGGTAAACACTACTCTGAATTTTGTGTTTATGAGTCCTTTTATTTACCCGATATTATAGTTTTGCAACATAGGATGTATCCCTAAGCATTATACTTTTGAATTTTATGTTTCTTTACTTAGTACAATTGATACAGTCTCCTATGGTCTATGATCTGTTATCTTCTTCCCTTTTTTTTTTTTTTTTTGGTGGGGTGGGGGATATGATTTTTTTTTAATTAGCTCATAACAACATTGGTAACTATTGCTCACTAACTTTCAGCACTGTAAATGATTTCATTCAATTCCATTTTATTCATTCTCCTCAAAGTAGTTATTTTTGTTGTTTCCAGGTTATCGCTGCTGCATTAATGCTACTACAAGCAGTGAGTATGTGCAAAGGTTTTGAGGAAGTTTAACAGGAGCTCAATCCCAGGCCTTATAGTAATACACACTTAACTTTACAAGGCAATATCAAATTGTTTTACAAAATGTCTACACCAATTTATACTTCCATTAGTTACATGTATAGCAGAGATTTCTTAGCAAACACTTAATATTGTTAAATATTTTGATGTTTACTAATTTTGTGGATGGAAAATTCTACTGCATTGTGATGTTAATTTTGTATTTCATATTATCAATGACGCTAAGCATATACTGGGTCATCAGAAAAGACATGACTCATTTTTGTGTAGAAAAATACGTCATGATTTTCCTGATGACCTAATAGAATTTGTGTTTATGGGTCTTTTATTTTTCTTCTTGTAAGAAAAGTGTATATGTCTTTTGCCCACATTTTCTATCGGATTATTTGTTTTTCTCTCAATTTATAGGTGATTCTTTATCTTCTCTGGGCCCAAATTCTTTATTGAGTTTATATTTTACTAGACTGTAGTGTCTTGTCACTTTTTAATGATGTTCTTTCATGTGCAAATGTTCTTGATTTAAGCAGAGGTGAATTATTGATCTTTCCTTTATGGTTCTTCCTTTCCGTGTCTTAAGAAACACTTCTGTTCATGAGATCATGAAATGACTCTTCTACATTTCTTTCTAAATTTTTTTTTTTTTTTACATTAATGTATTTAAAACATCTGGAGAGTATTGTGGCCAGGTGATAGTTGGGGCGCTGGACTTCCACATAGCCAACTGAAGTTTATTCCCAGACCTAGACCTAGTGCCTTGCTTTCTCACTCTCTCTCTCTCTGTTTCTCTGTCTCTGTCTCTGTTTCTGTCTCTCTCTGGTTAAAAAAATGATGATGATAAATAAAATAAATAAATTTTCAAAAATTCTGGAATAAAGTTTGTAGTATAGTATGAAATAGAAATTTTATTTTATTCTTTTTTATGAGTAATAATTACCATATCTTATTGAAGAGTTCAACTTTACCCACTGCTCTACAGTTATGTGTTTATTATATAACAGATTTCCAGATATGAATGGGTCACTGAGCACTTGACAGAAAGAGAGAAGGAAAGCAAGAAAGTACCCCCAGGGTGTATGATCATGCCATTCTCCTCCATTCTCCTCTTGAGATTTCAGACATGCACGTACATGCACCAGGCATGTTTTCAAGCCACCAAGTCTGGGACTTGATCTGTACTGTCAGCCATTTGGGATCAAGCTGCCTAACCAACAAGCCACCAACTGGTCCTGGGTCACTTTCTGACATCTCAATTTCTTCCACTGATCTATTTTCCTTCCCTGTACTAATGCTACATTGTTGAATGCCAGCTTCATATTTGAATATTTAATATGGTTAAAATAATTGTCCGCACCTTGTTCTTCAAGTGAGTCTCAGTTATTTTTTTACCCTTTTGTGGTCATTTAAAAATAGTTGGGTTGAGTTCTATGAAAAAGCCTGTTGGTTATTAAGCTTACTTTGATTCTATAGATCAATTTTGCATAGATCTAACATGGTTGTTATACTTTCTGTATGGTGCTGGAGCATGGATATGCAACTAATTTTTCTGTGCTAGTTTTATACATAGTAAACTTGTGAAAATTTAACAATTTGGTTTGTAGGGTATTGGTTAAGCTTTGTAGCAACACAGACTCAAAATGATTTTCACTAGATAGAATATAGTTTTTCTCTCACATAATGATTCAATTTAGGCAGCTCTGTCTTACACGGTCATCAAAGTTGGACCACCTGTTTTTTAGAGCAAACATAGTGGGTCCTACACCAGGGGATGAGTATGTTGTCATATGTGTTTTGCTCCCCCGTATATATTGTTTTGTGAAGTACCTATCAAGTTTCTTGCCTGTTTTCTACTATATTACCTCATTCAATTTGCAGCAGTTATTTATATATTCTGCATGTGAATAATTTGTCAGGCATATTGTAAAATCTCTCATTCTAGGGTCTTGCCACTTAATTCTCATAATAGTTGTGGATAAACAGAATTTTTCTATGTTTTACTTTTATTGTAATTTCTGATTTATATATGATCATTATAAATCTTTGTAAAATATAATATGAATTTTTAAAGTATGTATACAGTGTGTAATAAATCAAGGATATTAACAATTTTCCATCTTCAACATATAGTATTACATTATGTTGTACACGTTTGAAGTTTAATCTACTAGTTTTTTTGGAAGTATATTTTAAATTGTCAATGATGTTCTTTATTATGAAATACAGTTCTAAAGAAAAACAAAATAATTAACAATCAGACAACAACAAGTCTCATAAATCAATGAGAATGGATTTTGGAAAACAAAGATAATCTTAACGGAGCTAATAAAAAAGAATTTGTAATTTCCATGTAGAGGATTGTGGGAGACAAGAATTCATCATCTAAAAGCCTCTTTGTTATCAATCATTGGTCCAGTTAAAGACAGGTAAAACTGTACATAACATTAGCT